TGAAAAGCAGTGAATACTTTAAGTATTTAAATAAGCTGAGAATTCGAATCTGATGTTAAATGGAAAGCAATCAAAATATATGTCTAGGAAAGGGAATGATATGATGAAACTGTAATTTGAAAAACATTCTGACAGCTGGACTGAAGCAAGAGAGAAAGTATCAGACAGAAAATCTGGGAGGATTGATGAATCAACAAAGGAGGGACTGAATTTTAGGAGGAACTCTGAAAATAGAAAAATCAAAGTTTCAGACAGTGTACAGCATGAGTTAGCAGTGTTTGATAATCAATGTAAATTAGAAAATGAAAGAGAAACTAAAACTAACAGATTAACTATTTTTCAAGCTTTGAAGATGAAGAAGATGATAGAGACACAAGAATGCATTTAGGAATATTATTGGGATATTCGAGGGTGATCAGTTTCTATGACAAGCTGAGTGTGTGTAGCTATGCCATGTTTTAAAAAGTAATTTCCTTTTTTTTAAGGAAAATTATCAATAATAGAAGAACTGGATGCACTTTTACTTTCAAAACATTATTAACTAGCATTTAATAGGTACATACAGAGATTCATTTTAAAAATTAGAGTTAGCACTAAGAATAATTTTTGTAGCTTGTTCTAAAAGTTCTTTTCTTGTTCTCTGATTTCATCTTTCAGCTCCGTGTGGTGGCCATTTTTCAGCTCCCAGTGGATTGATTCTCTCGCCAGGATGGCCAGGATACTATAAAGACTCTTTGAATTGTGAGTGGGTGATTGAAGCTGAACCTGGACACTCTATCAAAATTACTTTTGAAAGGTCTCTGGAAATATCTATCTTTCTACCTTTAAAAAATATACATATATATAGTCAACATTCTTCATTTTATTTACTAAATCAATGTATAATTTTTTTGCAATAATTAGCTGTTTGCCTTGAATGCTTTAGACTGCCTCCTTTTAACTTTTCAGCCTGTTTTCAATGTGATTTTTTTATTTGTTTAATGCCATATAAGTACTATTGATATGCAAGATGGACCGTTTAGCTTTATATATATGCATACTACTGAGATATGAACATGTGACCTTTAAATTAATGAATTTAGTTGTCATATTTTGAAGGGCCTGTGAATTCTGCTGTGCTAGATTTCAAGAGGCAAAGGTGCTGTAAGCACATCCAAATCAATTCCATCTTGCAGCATAAGGCAGTTACTCACACTACCCATATGTGTACACTCATAAGTTCTTCACAGAAATGACTATCAAATTAATTTGTATTAATGATCCGTTAGTTGAATTTTTTTCCCCCTCTAGGAAAATTAGCATTACTGATTTTGAATTAGTATTACAAATTATCTTTATGGTGAAAGATTGTAATATTGACAATTTAATGTTTTAAAAAATGAAGCTTCTGACCTGCGATTAGATTACTATTCAGAAATCCAAATAGAAGTATTTATATAATTTTCCAATTGTAATATTGGCTCCCTTCATCTCCCAACCCCTTTCTTTTAAAGAAACATTTGTAAGCCTTGTATTCACATGGTAAGCATATAAATATATAAATATAGCTGA